TGATGCAATCAGTTGTTTGAGCTCCCAACGTTCTGGTGATGAGAGCCGCTTAAGGTTACTCGAACCCTCACTATCTTCTACGACTGGAACTTTCCCGAACGAAAAAGATCGCTCCGAATTACGAGTAGATTCTTCTGCAAGTTCCTATTGCCAAGAAATTAATTTTATAATAAAAAATAAAATGCAACCAGAAATGTTGGATGTTAAGTTTACTTGCCTCTTCAGTTTTTATGCGTAAATGCGGTGATAAATCTTTCCCTGTTTTTTGATCCACATCCTTCATAGATAGACTAATCCTGGATGCAACTATGGACATAACTTTGACTTTGACCATAGAATTTCGTGATACAACTTCTGACGGATGAGATACTCTAACTCCTACTACCATCATGCTAACGTGCACCATTCCTGTTAAAAGTCAAAACAAATAATGTTGAAGATCAATGATGAAAAGGAGTGGGGATCAGCAAAACAATAAATAAATACCTTCTACTCCTCCTTTAACTCCTTCTAAGCTTACAATGCAATTAAGCCCAATAAAAGTAGTTAAGGCCCCAGATGGAACAATGAATAGAGCTGCCCTTGCCGGCGCATCATTAGCGAAGGAACGTAGGGAATTAAGGTGGGTAAACTATATTGTTGAATTCAATCCAAAAAATTAGTCAATGACCAATCATATTTCTTTACAATATAGAGCTCAGCAAACGAACGCCGAACTAGATTCTGTTCCCAAAGATATCAACATTCCATGGTTAGATCCTATGCCCGAACCAGGCGAACGTCATTTTGCGCAAGACTTAAGGGGTATTGCAGCAGGCCGTAAGGCCGGAGAAGTGCCAGAATGGAAACGTGAAACTTTCAATAAAACAACCAGCTTTGGCAAGGTCACTTCAATGACAATTCAAGAACAACGTCAGAGTTTGCCCATATATCAAATGCGTTCGCTATTAATCCATGCTATAACAGAGGTACGTATATACGAAGTTGATTAGCTTTCGATGTAACTTGTGTTAATTTCATCTATCTTATAATAGAATCAACAGTTGATTATTGTCGGTGATACTGGTTCTGGTAAAACTACTCAGATGACACAATACCTGGTTGAGGAAGGCTTAGCGGAGGTGACAATTACTTTGAGCTCAGGCCGATTTTTAAGGGTTTCTGT